ACTTTCATTCCTACGGAAACTGTGAAACGCGTTCCAGGCTGCCACCCCAGGCACCAAGGTGTCGATTGACTGCCCATCCCAAATCTCAACGGTCTTTTTTCCCTTGCTTCTTCGCTTCCAGCTGGTCGCTCTGATCCTCCTTCATGGCAACGATAACATAACTGATCAATACCACGTTGGCCATTACAGCAGCAAGAGCGCCGGCAAATGTCGAATTGCCTGGTTATCAGATTAATCGGGCGCGTCCAATCGTGTTTGGCAGTGGAATAGGAAAGGCAGAAACACGAGTGCAGCTTACTTACCCTTGAAAAGGAAGTCGACCGTAGCAAAGTAGGTGCCGATGGGCAACACAATCATGGCCAACGTGAATCCAAGAAGCTTCAAGATGACATCCATTGGTACAGCAGGAGTGATGTTGGACTTGTCGCCAGCAGCGGGACTGGCACCAACCACATCATCCTTCTCGAGGATGGTCTTCTCCGAGGCCACGATGCGTCGGGTCGCCATGACGTGTATCTTGATTGAGCAAGGTGTAAAGTAAGCGCATGGTCTCGTATAGCTTGTGCTAAGGGACAGGAAACCTACAAGGTGTTGATTATCGACGTTGAAATAGGCTTGTTGTCAGTCGAGGACGTTGCGGAAGACCCGGAGTTGATGAACGTCGGTTGGGGCTTATGAGTTTGATGGTCCCGCTCATTGAGCCTTGCTGCTAGAGGTCTCCTCAAAAACGAGACGTGAAGTCAGAAGACAGTGCCCACAGTTCGAAGGGATGATTGTCCGCACGGTGTTTTAATTGATGACGCCAACCACGTGCGGACGCGCTATGGGGATTCGTCTAAGCGCGTTTCTTTGGATTCCCGTGTCAACGGACATGGGGGGGCGTTGCGATCTGCCCCAGAAAATTCCCACTCCAGTGCCGCCGTCGGTTCAAAATCAATCTCGGCCCTCTCCTGCCAGCCTGCTCAGGAGCGCCCACATCTTGGAAGGCGGCACGGATACCTGCAATTGCCCAATCTGTTGCTCTTTTACCTTGCGATTTCTCCTGCTCTAGCGTTAATTATCTCGCACAGCCTTTCGACAATCGACATCTTCACAGCAGCAAAGTCCTCGAGTCCTTCTCTCCTTTGAGCGAACTTCTCCCCGCCTTTGTATATCGACCATTGTTCGCCTTCGTACCTCCGCTTGTCAACTTCCCAATTTCCACCTCACTTCTCACAAGCAACAAACACATCTATACGAGCCATGGTAATCAACTATACCCTCAGCTCCTCACCGCCGCCGGTGGGCAGCTCGGCAATGGGCACGTCACCGATCAGAGGCATTCGTCGCGGTAACGACGCCGACGAGCTCGCCGACGAGACGATCCCCGAATCCCCCTACCAGACACAAGCGACGCAGATTGTCAATCGAACGTCACTCGCGTCCCAAGCCAAGACGCAACCCGATCATTCCTCCTCCCCCTCTTCGCGTTCAGTCATTGAGGTTCCCGCATCCTCGCCGTTCCAGAACAAATCCAGCTACTTCTCACGCCTCGTGCCCCCCGGCTCACGATTTCAGCCGCCCCCCAAGTCACAAGCGCCTTCCAACCCGCGGAAGAGGCCCTCGGCGGAGCCTGTGCTCATACAAGGCTCGTCAGATGACGAAGATGACCGAACGTCCCGTGGCAATATCAGCCAGACATCTTTCAAGAAGCATGTCGCCAACTTCGAGTACGTTTCGGTGGATAAGCTGCAAAAGAAGATTGAAGAGGTTTCTGAGGCGCTCAACGGCACGATACCGGTTCAATACTATAAGGAAGCTTTGACCGCATGCCACAATAATGTTGAGGACGCAATCAACTACTTGTTGGATGGTCGGCATCTGAAGCCCAAAGTCAACAGCTTCGTGAGCTCTACCAAGCCAAGCATAACCGTTGGCGACGAAAGAACAAAGAACATGGACCGCAAGTCAGGCAGACCCGGCTCACCCAGCAAGCCAAAACTACTCGGGCGACATGCCCCGACTCTACCAACACCTTCTCGAAGCACCACCCCTTCACCACCAAAGCCCAAGCGCAGGCGCTTGATGCAAGGTCGTCGCCCCGGTAGATCTCCACCTGCGTCCCAGCAGGCTCACGAAGACGAGCCGTCCCTAGACGAGCTTGCCGCCGACAAAGTGGACGAGCCTATCATCATTCCCGATGACAATGAAGACGAGGATTTTGATAACGAGGATGAATTGAACGAGGCAGTCAAGGACAGCCTGCAGGACAAGGCTCTCCAAGCCATCAACACCAGCTCGATCGCGGATCTGTCAGCCATGACGAATATCAAGATGGACGAGCTGAAGATTATTGAGACGAAGAGGCCTTTCGATACCATTAGCGAGGTACAAGCCGTTTCGGTGGCCAAGAAGGCAAACGCTCGCAGCAGGAGGCCCAAGGTTCCAATTGGAGAGACCCTGGTTGATGCAATCATGGAATTCACTCGCAGCGTCAATGCCATTGACGAAGTGGTAGCCGAATGCGAGAAGAAGGCGAACAAGGTCAAACAGGAGATCAGCCGATGGGACCTCGATGTTAAGGGTCAGAAACGGAGCACACAGAGCTCCTCCACTAACAGCGACCTCCCCCTGACACCGACAAGCTTCCACACTCAAAAGCTTTCGGAGCCGCCAATCTCCTGCCAGCCGAAGTTCATGGATGGGCACTGCACTATGCGTCCCTTTCAGCTGTTCGGTCTCAACTGGATGTCCCTCCTGTACAACAGTGGCTACGGATGCATTCTAGCCGATGAGATGGGTCTAGGGAAAACTTGCCAGGTCATTTCTCTCATCTGTCATCTTGTCGAAAACTACGAGAAAACCGGAAAGGGTGAGAGGCCGTGGCCCAATCTTGTGGTTGTACCACCGTCGACGTTCTCAAACTGGATGGGAGAGTTCCAGCGCTTTGCTCCCGACCTCTCGATTCTTGCATATCAAGGTCCTCAAGCCGAACGTAGAGAGATAGCATACGAGATGCTCGAGAACCCGGCGGACTACCACGTCGTCTTGACGACCTATACCCAAGTTGGCTCCGAAGAGGATCTGGAGGCTCTCCGAGAGTTGCAGCCAGCCGCAGCCATCTTTGACGAGGGGCACAAGATGAAGAACCCCAAGACCAAGATTTACAAGGACTTGATCAGGATTAAGGCCGGTTGGAGAATGCTTCTCACCGGAACACCTGTTCAGAACAACCTGATGGAAATGCTGGCGTTGTTGAACTTCATTGACCCACTCCAGTTCAACGGTCGGATGGACCAGCTCCAGTACATGTTCAGCCAAAAGGTCACCATTCGCGATGTCAACAATGGTGCTTTCCTCTACGGTGAGCGTGTCAGCCGAGCCAGAACGATTCTGGAACCGTTCATCCTGCAGCGTCGCAAGCAGCAGGTGCTCTCTGACATGCCGGCCAAGATTTGCAATGTCGCATACTGCGATCTGGCACCAGGAGTACAGAAGGAACTCTACGAGGACTACGAGCGACTTTTCAAGGCTGGCCCGGTCAAGAAGACGACAACCGGACGTCAGAGCGACCAAAACAACAGTTGGATGCAGCTTCGGAAGGCGGCCCTTCACCCGCAACTATTCCGTCGTTACTTTGACAACAAGAAGGTTGAGAAGATGGCGAATATTTTGATGCGAGAGGTCCCGCAATCCGAGCTGCAACAACCGCGGATTGACCATCTCATTGGGGAGCTGCAAAATTCTTCCGATTTCGAGCTGCATCTCTGGTGCCGTGATTACGCTTGTATCAGGCATCTTGACGTCCCTGAGGGTTCTTGGATGGACAGTGGCAAGGTCGTCAAGCTACTAGAGCTCATCCACCAGTATCGCGACAACGGCGACCGCGTCCTCGTCTTCAGCAAATTTGCAAAGGTCATTGAGATCCTACGGGAGGTCCTTCACACCGATAACATCAGGCACTGCGTCTTATATGGCCAGACCAACGTCGCCGAGCGCCAGGATCTGATTGACGAGTTCAACAACGATACAGATATCACAGCCTTTTTGCTCACGACGGGCGCTGGTGGCACTGGCATCAACCTGACCTCTGCCAATAAGATCATCATCTTTGATCAATCCGACAACCCGCAGGACGACATTCAGGCCGAGAACCGAGCTCACCGCCTCGGCCAGACGCGGGATGTGGAGGTGATTCGCTTGCTGACATCGCACACCATTGAGGAGCTCATCTATAAAGCCTGCCAGAAGAAGATTGAGCTCGCCGAGAAGGTCACTGGTGCGGTGGAGGATTTGGACGACAAGAATGCCGAGGAGAACTTGGAGAAGGAGGTTCGAAAGATGATGGCGGATCAGTTGACTCCTTCATGATTCGACGTCTTCTCATCTTGAGACAAAAAGAGATCATTTTATTTGATTCGACTCGACACACTTTCCGCATTCATTCCGGTTGACCGCCTTTGCGGCCCGCATTACATCCGTCCAGCGTTGTTCAGAGCTGTACGACATAGTACCACAACATTGAGAGCGAGTAGAGGGTCCAGAGTCATTAGTATTAATCATGGCAAGAGAGACATGAGGCACCACTCAGAGTGCCAGGTTTATATTTCAGAGATGACCGGCGAGAAGGGACCCAAGACAAGAAGGGAGTGGAGGGGAGGCCGAGGGGAGAGGCGTAGGTAGTCCTCCTCAGCTTTGGGATAGTGGTCCGGACAAAGGGTAGAAAAGATAAGACTTATTCGGTCTAGACGATAGACGAGGATCGGGACCTATCAGGGCAACCTCGGTTGAATGAACTACATGAATTGCATCAAGTCTCACACGATCCCCCGGGCCTCAAATTGCTATGAGGCGGCTTACGATCCACCCGACATTGTTGAATCATCATGGTATTAGGCAGTGAGGTAGACAATTAGGATTGGTGCCCCTTAGTGGTAGTGGCACAGAATCTAAAACTACTACATAAAGTCAAGCCCTTTTCCTGATCTTCGCAAGCAGTAACAACATCCCATGCGTCGATGTCACTGTGCTGCTGCTCTTGCTTCCCTGGCAGCTTTAGATTGTCGAATCTGTGCCTTGAGTTTCCTCGAGTCGGCTCTCCTGTTCCTCGCGCGCTCTTTGGCTGGATCCGGTTGGGCCTCTTCACCCAGCGTTTCAAAGGCCTTCAAGTCTGCCAAGAATCGACGAATGCGCACACCCGTCTTTTGTCGGATCCATGCGTCGACCTCTTCGTTACAAGCAGCCGATATGGCGATGTGGAGACCTCGCAAAACATCTCTGTCATCAATTTCTTTGTCGTCCTGCTCCTTGGGGTCCGAGTTATCACTACCTCGCAGCGGTTCTCGTCCCTCTTCGGGTTGTTCAGCTGAGGGTAAGGGAGCTTCCTCGTCAACGGGCTCTGGGAGTGGCTCGTCATGTTCGGCTTCTGCAGCCATGTAGGGAATAGCTTGTGTCTCCAAGTCTTGTCCTCTGAGTGTCTCATGCCTGGATCGCCTGGCTTCTTGCATCTTCATTTCCCGTGAAGCGGCTTCCATGGCTACTTCAAGTGACGAGGATGAGCTCAAGGTCAGTTTCCATGTGGACGGTAGAGCAGGGTTAGGTGTGATAGTTCCGCGACTCGTCTGAGCCGACCGTTCTCTTCTTTCCACTTCTGTTGCGGGTCCTGGCAGGCTTCTGAACATCCTCCCAGATTGGAAAATTGGCGGATGCTCAAAATCCGTTTGTGTAGGCTTGTTCAGAAGAGCGGCCTTTTCCTTAGCCTTGCGTTCGGGCTGCCTGATCGAAACCCTGAGAGGCTTGTCTACAACGCCAGCTGACTGTTTCGATCCTGTGGAGATATTGGTGTTGTATGGCTCCTGAGCCTGTACTTCGACAGTGTTCTCGTCTGACTCTGATAATACAGTGGCTTTCACTGGTCTTTTGGCTATGACAGGAAGGGCTTTATCTCCTGGTGGGAAGTTTTCCTGATCTGAAAACACGTTTTGCTGAGACTCCTTACGTATCCCCTTAGGGGCTGAAGATTCGAGCTTCAGCGCCTTTGATTGCTTCCTCGGACGATCGATACGAGCTTGGGCCCTTGGAGGTATGGGTGGTTTATCGTCGTCCAAGTCATGAGGTACCGCTTTCCTTGGAGACTTGCTTTTGGGACTTGGTGCTTCTGTCTCGTTGCGAGAAGGGGGAGCCTCCCTGAGTGGCCGATAGGTTGATGGACGTTGTGCCGTGTTGCCGTGCCATGTTTTGGCTCGAACATCTCGAGAGGCTTTCTCACCTTTGAAAGAGTCAGCAACGATTTGGCCGACGATTATAAAGCTCGACTTACGCCAGCCCTGTAGCGCCTCTGTCTTCTGGGGGTAGACTGGTTCCCACTTTGCCAGTATCTTGTTTGGCGTGTCAACTGTTGTCGGCGTCGGAGCGGGAGGTAGCCGACCCGTTGGCATGTCGATCGATTCGTCTCTCGTATTTTGGAAGCAAGGTAGGTTACAACATCTCGAAGTAGAACTTTCTTTCTTGGCGGGAACTTCGTCGATAAAGGCGAGCTCCCAGGCGTCTGGCTGTGCAAAGGCAACCTGCGTACCAGAAGTTGATGAATCGGATGAGCTTGTTGAAGCGCTCCTCAAGCCATTAAGCTGAAGGTGGCCTGGTTCAGCTTGTTTTCTGGTGTCCCTAGAGCGAGTCGAGATTGGCTCTGCTTCGATGTCTGATGGATTCTTCGTCTTCATGTCCTTTTTGGGAGACGGTTTGGGCGGCGACTTCTGACGCTGCTGTTCAGAAGTCACTGCTAGACCAACAGCTTGGAACTGTTCCTCATACGGAAGAAGAGCTGTAACTGTGTGAAGCGATGCAACCGACTCTGGTGTCGGGGTAGAGACAGGTAGCTCTCCTGCAGCTTTTCTACGTTCAGCATATATCTCTAGTTGCCGTGCGAAACGATTCACTTCCCGGCGCCGGCTGGAGGTTCTCGATGGAGGTTGAGGTGCTCGGAAAGATTGATTTGATGATCTATTTGATGGCGAAGCAACAAGGGATACTCGGCTTTGCTGCGAAAGACTCCGACGAACAGCTTCCTACAGCTGTGGATCAGCAACTCCGAATCTTCTCTCGTGGGACGCCACCGATTCGCGGTGCTGAAAGGTGTGGCCAGGATCCGCCATGGCCGACAGAGGGTGACCTCGGATTCTGGATGGACTGTTGCCAAAGTTTGGCGCTTTTGGCTGACTTGGGGATCCCGAAGGACCTGCAACTGGTCTTCTACGGACGGGACGTGGCTTTGATGCCCGATTTGGAACAGCACGTTGGTAGCGAAAAGAAGAGCCTCGTGGTCTCGGCGATCTAGGACCGGCTTGAACCGCAGGGTCCATCGCGATATACCACGCAGGTGGCGTCCTTTGCATTGAGGGTCTGTTGTGCCTTCGAGAGGTCGGCGTCAAGAGCTGAAGAGCGTCCGAGGCCACAATACTGCGCAGTCTTTCTAGCTCTCGCTCTTGGGAGACGATGATCGGGACAAGTTGGCTCGCTCTTCTCGCGGATGCTACAGTCGTTCGAGAGCTGGTAACCTTACCGGATGGGAGCCTGGCTCTGCTGGCGCGCTCTGTATGTACAATTATGCGTTGCTGACGACGGAGACTCTCGACAGACCGACTTATGGGCTTGCGGAAGACGTCTTCTGCTGCCTGGTGTGCTTGTGTCGGCTCAGATTTAAGAATGGGCGGCGGTGGTGAACAAGGTGAAATACAATTGCAGTCTCGGAAGACTCTGTCGCAATCAAGCATCGTCCATGCTCGCTGCACTGGAATAGTAGCGATGGATCCAAAGAAGAATTTGCGTTGGTATCATGTGGTTTAGGTAACAAAAACGTAGCATAGGAGAGACATATGGTGATACAGAGGGGAGGCAGTCGGTGCTGTGCCTTGCGCGTGGCCCTGGACATTAAAGTCGACGTTCCTTCCCAACATTACACGGAACCGTGCGAAGAAGGATGTGAATAAGCCCAGTTTCTTGGCATGAGGATGGTGGTTTCTTCACCGGCTGATGTCCTTGATACTCGGTGAAGAGTACGTCTCGAGCTGGCGGCGGCCCTTCCGCAATAAATGCTCTACAACGGAGAAGTCGCGCTTGTCGACCGTAATGTACCTTTCAAACTCTGTCCTAATGTGTTGGTCAGTATGGTGGTATGCGGCACATAAGAAAGCTGGTGCACAAGCTTGCCTGGCAAAAGATTGAAAATGAGGTCGTGCAGTCTATAACGGTATTAACATCTCACATGCAAGTCGAAGACGTTGAAGAAATGTTACCTCTGGCTTCTTCCGAATTTCCCGGATACATTGTCGATAGAGTGCCAAAACCTCCCGTTGAAGGCCAGAAAGACCGCGCTTCGGTACTGCCATCTCGAACGTCAAATCGGCGTTACTGCGGAAGGAATGCTCTTCTGATGGTTCATGAGAGGACCGTAATGAGAAAGTTCGGATGTCGAATCATTGATGTCAACCATGAGAAAGAGAGCTCCATCGTTGTAGCTCAGGCCAATGAGGAACGGCGGAAGTCGGAGGTCGATTGGATGACTCAGCAGCAGCATTGGCATTGGCATGATGCTGGAAGGAGCAAAAGCAAGTAGTGCCCCGTCCCTTAAAAGGGTGTTTGAGCAACCCTGTAGTCTTATGAACCCCGTAAAGTACTCTCTTCTGCCTGTCCATAGCAGTAACCCAGAAACTGTAAACTCTAGCTTTTGATGCTGAAAGGAGCTCCTCGGAATTGTGGAGTCGCATCCGGAAGAGGTGCACACCTGTAGTGCTGCGCAGCTGCCGGGAGTTCAAGGCGTAATGATGCCGATGCATTAGCCGGCGCGCCAGAGTGCTACGCAATTCACTTCGCTCTGGCACATCTGACGCCGAACAGCGAGCCGGGGTTTAGCTCTGGAATCCGTGCTCTATGGGGGGAAGTGTGGGGTCGACGGATAGTAATCGGAGGCTTCACGTTCGTGGGGTCCAGTCGCTACAGCGTCCCGTCTTCGGCTCCTCTCCCGATATTCGTCACATTCCATCACCTGCAACATATTCTCATCTACTGTACCGTTATCTTGCTTTGTTTCTTCTTCAGCCTGTACCACAAACTTGCAGTTGATTAGTCGTAAATATGGCCTCATTTTCCGTGAGTCAATCGCTGCCCAGGAGTGACTGACAGCAGCCGATATACTGACTCTCACATCAGAGACTCGTTCGCTTCCTTGCCCGGGACGGCAAGACGTACTACGGCGATGCAATTCTGCCGAGCGGCGTCACTGACATCGCCAAGGCGAGGCAAGCCAGAATCGTGACGGGCGACATCTTTGGAAGACACGACGTCACAGAAAACGTCGCCGACATCCGCCTTCTGCTGTCCCCCCTTGCGCCTGAGCACGTCAAGACTGTACGGTGCCTCGGCCTCAACTATGCCAACCACGCCAAGGAGGTGAGATTAGAGCCAAAGAACCCTGGAAATGGCTCTGCACAAATAGCTAACAGCACCCCTTAGTCAAACATGGCAATTCCCAAATTCCCAGTTCTCTTCGTAAGTCGTCGTCGTTCGTTGAGGAAAGAAGAAAATGGTAGACTGATTTCTCCCAGTACAAGCCCGTGACCTCTCTGGCTGGACCGACTGACCCCGTTCCCGTGCATCCGATTGCTCAGACCGGCAGCACGCTGGACTACGAGTGCGAATTGGTCATCGTCATTGGCAAGACCGCCGCGGACGTCTCCGAGGACGATGCCCTCAACTACGTCCTCGGCTACGCCGTGGGCAACGATGTGTCACACCGCGAGTGGCAAATCCAGCGTGGCGGCGGTCAGTGGTCTCTTGGGAAAGGCTTTGACGGCTGGGCGCCGTTCGGGCCTGGCATTGTGACCAACAAGGTCATCAAGGATCCTCAAAACCTCAAGATCTTTACCAAGGTCAACGGGGAGACCGTTCAGGTGGGTGTTGGACCGCAGGCAACGAAGTGTGGGTTTAGAACTGACGAATGGGCCAGAATAATAACACCAAGGACATGATCTTTGGCATCAAGAAGACAATCTCCTTCTTGAGCCAGGGCACTACCCTGCTCCCGGGAGACGTCATCTTCACCGGAACGTAAGTAGATCAACGAAGAGCCCTAGCCGACCCCATGACTGACGGTATATGTAGTCCCGAGGGCGTTGGCATGGGTCGCAAGCCCCAATTGTGGCTCAAGGACGGAGACGTTGTTGAAGTTGGCCTTGAGAATGTGGGCTCTTGCATCAACAAGATCGAGTTCAGCAAGGTCAAGTCAAGGATTTAGGGATGGAGCTGAAAGTGGCGGGGAGGTGCATTGTACCAATTGCTAAGATAATGGTCATTTGTCAACTGAAATCTGTTGTTCCATATGGAGTCCAAACAAACTTGCCTGAGGTAGCGAGATGGCGCTCCCCGAATTTGCGGCCGAAGTAGCACGCGTTGGCGTATCGAAACATAGAGAACCTGTAGATGCCTGATGCCGAGTTCCTTGGAAGGTGGCAAGCTTCCTTCATTATGAGTTATGCAAATTGCGTCGGCTCTTCCCATCATGGAAAGTACACACAACATGGGCAATTAGTGAATCGAGAGTACCTCATGCTCAGACGACGTCAAAAAAGGAAAGACAAAGCACCTTAAAAAGGTACTGAATTGATTACGTTCATGCATCCGCCGATAATCGAAATCGGGTCCCTTGCTAACCGCGGAGAGTCATGGAAGGCAAGGATGATAACCACTACACTACAGATGCTGGTGAAAATTGCAGCGGGTCTAGCACCTATGGATCATTGAGCCATGCCAGACAGGAAGGATCGGTTTGTGGTCCGTGCCCCAATCTCAAACTCCAGGCAGGCGTTCCTCATCCTCACTCTTTCGTCTCTGTCCAGCTTCAGACGGAAATCAGAAAGCATAGACGGAAGAGAAAGTCACGCCTTTAAACTTTCATCTAGAGCTATTTTGAATATTCTTTTGTCATTTCTTTATGTGCTCTAGGCTGACACCATTCCAGCTCCCTACCAAGGACGTCAATCTATGCCGTAATCGGCGGAAACTCGGCCTGCAAGGCACAGCAGCGCGAGTACGACATGATCCCACGACGTATTATCACCGACTGGAACATTTCACCATCAGCCAAACTATCCATAACCAATCTTCAGGAGGCTAAGCGTTGCGTGACATACCTTCTAATGGCACCAAGCAACCCCTTCGGTGACCAACTGCGGCAGTTATTACAGACTGACCTCTAGGGCGCACTGCACTGCCCGCGCGCTAAGTAGCCGAACGTGCCCAGCTCCGCCCCCAACACCAACGCAGCCCACTCGCAGCCAGTTCGGCCTTCTTCGCGATGTTTATCTTCAAGACACGAGACTCAACCAACCAGGTCTCGCCTCGCGACATCGTGCTTGACGAGTCTGCCTTGATCTAATCAGCACCCGGTTGGCGGGCTACCAACCCATTTTCTCCGCGGCCAAGTTCGCAAAACCATAGAGCCGATCTTGGCCGCCGCCAATGCTATGGTAACTTTATGTGGTGTTTCTCCATACCACCTCCACGCCTCTTTCGACAGTCTAGCAGTGCAGCTGGGGCAGATTCAGCCCTGTGGTCTGTGAGCTGTCATCAGGGTGCCTCGTCGTTGATCCCCCAAAAATGGGGATCTCTTCAAGCTTGTCATGAGGCTCGGAGGAGCCGCCAACTGCACCTTGGCTTCCTTCATGCTCCGCTTCCCGCTCACGCCATGTAGAGAGACTCTTACGTTTCGTTGGTGGGATCGGTTAGATTCTCCATATCCATATCTTCCGCCAGGGCTCTGGTATGAGACACACTTCTACCTAGATAGATTCTTTTCCCGCTCTTGATGGACTGTTCGGCGTGGCGTTTAGTTATTTGTGCTCTTCTCTCCGTTCTCTATCGGCGAAGAGCCAAACTCTACATCCTACCTAAGACAGCATCTTATACCCAGGTACATGACGACAACCACGTCGACCGTCGTCGAGATGGAGACTGCGACGAACGTGCCCGCCCGCCTGGAAGACTACGTGGGGTTCTACGGCGACCCATTTGTGACCCTACGAGACTTTGACGATGATGAGGTGAAGCCTACTCTGGCCATCACCAACAAAGAAATAACAGCTCAGAATCCGGCCGATGAGAATGAAACAAACGAGGCGAATTCAATACAAGAGGGTGAGGATGAGGGTGAGGCCCGGTGGACTGAATACAATCCGCCAGCGTCCCTCAGAACAGCGCCAAACCTCACTAACACGGTAGCCCTCGAGATCCTCCAGGTCTCCATCGAGAACCTTCAGGCAAGAGCCGCCGAGGAAAATCAGCGGCGGCAGCTAGAGGAAGATGAAAAACAGCGGGAAGCCGAAGCAGCAACCGCAAACGACGAGGGAGACGGCACGGTAAAGGAGCCGTATCTTCCCATCATCATCACTAGTACGGACGGAGAACCCGGTCCATCGTCGGCGCTCGAAACGGAAGAAGTTGAGAATGTCGAAGATCTCAAGCTGTTTCCCGAGATGACGGGAGCGGGCGAGGGCAATACCTTGTCACAGGGGCTCATCGTCTTGCCATTCCAGCCCAAGAAAAGAAGCCGCTTCGCCCTGACGAGAATCTTGCAAAAGATTGGTGAAAAGGATGTTGCGAAGAAGACGTCCCTTTTCGGTGGTAACTCGAGCAAGGCGAGCCTGGAAGCAGCAGTATCTGACGAACCCGCTCCTACTGTCACAGAAAAGCAAAAGAAAGCTCCTGTGACTGTGTAAGTCACATCCCCCTTACCCCTTTTTCCAACACTGAACCCATTCTCGACATCTAACACCAAACCCACCAGCGAATGCGTCTCCTGCCTTGACGACTTCAGCCCAAAGAAAGTCATCAAAGTCACATGCCACAGCTACTGCCCCGACTGCTTCGAACGCCTCATCTCCACCGCCGTCCAAAATGAACAACACTGGCCCCCCAAATGCTGCCTCAACCCGATCCCAACCCGCCTCTACCTTCGCAAGATCTCCCCCGACCTGGCAAAGACCTGCAAAGACCGCGCCGCCGAGTGGGCCATCCCCGTCGCCGACCGCATCTACTGCGCCGAACCGGCCTGCGGCCTCTGGGTGCGCCCCGAACACGTCGACGCCGCATCCCGCGTGGCCCGGTGCCGCGACGGACACCGCAGCTGCAGCATGTGCCGGGGACCCCACCACGCCAACGACGCAGACTGCCCACTCGACCGGGACCTCGCGCTGACGAACGCCCTCGCCGCGGAGGAAGGGTGGCAGCACTGCGGCCGGTGCCAGGCGCTCGTCGAGCACCGCGAGGCGTGCCAGCACATGACGTGCCGGTGCGGCTACCAGTTCTGCTACGTCTGCGGCCTGCGGTGGCGGACGTGCACTTGCACCATGAACCAGCTCGAACTCATCAAGAACGGGGCCGCGGCGCGGCGGCGGGAGAGGTTGCGGCGCGAGGCCGAGGCCGAAGAGGAGCTCCGCGACGCGTTGCGGCAGATTGAGGAGTTTGAGCGCGAGGAGGCGCTGAAAGCCGAGTTGCTGCGTCTCGAGATGGAGAGGCTTGAAGAAGAGGCGCGCATTGCGTGGGAGGAGGAGCGGGCTCGGCTTGAGAGTCTGAGGCGGCACGAGGTCGAGGTGAGGTTCCAGGAGCTGCGCGAGCTGCTGGACCAGATTCACGACCTGCAGGAGTTCCTGGTGCGGTACCAGCACGATAAGGAGAAGGAGCTCGCGGCCAATGAGGAAGCCATGTCGACGGCGGAGCTCGAGTCGAAGCAGGAGGCTGAGCAGCGAGCCCTCGTCGAAACGGCCGCGGATAAGCTAGCCGCCAAAGTCAAGAGCCTGACGGCGGAGTACGCGACCCGCGTGCTGGCGGAGCAGAGGACGGAAGAGGCGTACCTCCGTCAGCTGGAGAGCTTCTTCGCGGACCGCCCCTCGAGCGAGGCGCGCATCGAGGTGCTGATGCGGGAGTTCCGCGGAACGATGGATAAGGGATGGCGGGCGTGGGAGCGGTGGCGGGACGACGAGGTGGCGCGGTACAAGCTTAAAGTTGAGGAGGAGCGGACGATCCGGGAGGAGATTATGTACAGCGTGCGGATGCGGCACGAGGAGAGGCTCGAGAGGGCGCGGGCGGAGCTCGAGAGGAGGCAAGCTGCTGAGATTAAGTGGGTGACGTTGGTTTTTGCGGAAAGGATGCGGATGCTGGATGCGATGGAGAGAGCGGAGCTGGAGGGGGAGGGGGTGGAGAGGAATGAGGCTTTGGTTGGGGTGAGGGATGATGAGGCTGGGTCTAGTTGACGGTGGGAAGGCGGCCTGGTCTACCTGATCTTGGCCGTCACGCTGATGATGTTCAAGAGTCGACTTGAAAGCTAACAGGTTTACGCAGATGTGATGGCAGAGCATAGCAGTAGGCAGTTTGTAGCGACTGATATTTGGAAACACCTTGCTGGGAGGTTTAAGAGTATATAAATCACACTTGGGATGTTAGCAAGGTGACCTTGACGCTTAATTCTTTATTAGACGTTGGATCAATGACATGTAGTCAACCGACATTGTCACGTCCTCATGAAACCAGATAGTAGATGACACAAGATGTCTGTATACTTGATCGCATCATTATAAAAGGTCTGTATCGCATGATCTCTGTACAACATTAAATAGTGGGGGTATCTGCATGCTCGTATATGCTTTCATGTCACGGAGCTTCAAGTCCGTGAAATGCTAAAATTGGGAGAAGGGAAATCCCCAATGCAATGGTGCCAAGCACACACACATAGCCTCTCTCAACCGCGCTTGTGCTCCAACTCCTCGGCCTCGTGACCGAGCTTGATCTCCTGCTCGACCTGCGCGAGATCGAGGTCCGCAACCTGGGCGTCGGGGCCGTCGATGACCTTGACGAGCTCCTCGAGCGTAGGGCCCTTTGTCTCGACGTAGAAGAGGTACACAAAGACGAGTTCGAGGAAGATCCAGCACTGTGAAACGCAATATCATTAGCCAAAATGTTCATTGACCTCGAAGTCGAAGACAAGTGAAAACTTACAGTGTAGATGAGGTACAGCTTCCAGGTGTGGCCGGTAAAGTAGTCAAACGCGTAGGGGTTGGCGTAGTTGTTGAGCGTGAGGGCGGCCTGGACGGTCAAGTTGACAATCATGAGACCCTTGGCACGCAGCTTGTACGGCAGGATTTCGATGGAGTAGCTGATGAGGAGACCGGACCACGCGAAGGCGTAGAAGAAGCCAAACAGCCAGATGAAGAAGATCATGGCGTAGTTGGAGCCGGGCGAGCC